TTCTTTTTACTTCTTTTAATTGCCAAGATTAGTGCAATGCCCTTGTTAAACACCTATTCTGGAAACCGACCCCTAACTTGAGGTTTTCGTCTCTAATCATCTTATTAGCTTTAGATAATCCACACAATCATTTCACACATGGAATCCTTACTTATCTCAATGTTTCTCTATACTAGTTTAGTCATTTCCAAATTCTCCTAAAAGAGGTTTTATGGTCATATTTATTTGTGTTGGTTCGGGTTTGAATCAACTATGTTCAACTTTCTCCTTATACAAACCAAGTCATCAACTCATAATATAGAACATGAATATCGTGCTCAATAGAGATCAAGTTTCACATCAACAAGTGTCAACTAACTCAACATATAATTCTTCCACGATTCTTAGTTAATTACATAGTTCCAATATATGGATCATTGCCAACAAGGCCATCCAACCCACACAAGCACACAAAAGTTAAAAACAAAACACAAAAGTTAATTTTTTTTTAAAGATAAAACATACCAATCATGCGAAAAGAAGTAAACGTGAAGATAAAAGATTAAATCACGCCCAAACTTAACAGGTGCATTGTCCTCAATGTACCACAATAAGGAATAAAATGCAAAAAGGAGGGTGTGAAAGGAACTGAGAACTCCCCTCGTCAATCGGAAGGTGGCGGTGGAGGTAGACGGGAAAGAATCTCCCTCATCAAAGCATATTGCTGGCCCATCTCTATTTGCATATTACGAACCATGTCGTATGTCTGATCAGCCCGAAATTGCGTGTCATCCATCATTCCAATATAACGGTCCAACCTCCCAATTAGCCTATCAGTACTTTGACGTAAATCAGAGACATCTTCTTGAGTCCTGCTCGCGCTGGCTCGTACAATCCTAATGTCAGTTTGTATATCTTGTACTCATAAATCCAGGACTGTAAATGATTGCTGCAACTTTTTAACATCCCTACTCAGCCAGGTCATCATTACAAACATCTGTCGCAGTATGGGGGTATAAACTGGTGGCTCATGTTGCGGGTCTAGGTGGATGTCAACGTCATCCTCATGGTCTGCCTCGTCCTGATTATCTTATCGTCTTTGTTTGTACCGATTGACTTTTCTCCAAGAGTTTTGGGCAAAGAGAATGTTGATTGGAGCAGTAGGACGTATTGCTTGCTCAGCTGGTAGGAGCTACACTCCGTAAGCCCTGCATATTCCATAGATAAGGCTTGGGAATATGAGTATGTGTCGTGGGTCTTCTTCAGTAGCGTGGGCACAAATCAGATTATAGATGTGAGTGCCCAAGTCAAATTTGAGTCCTCTAGCTAGATGGTAGAGCAAAGCAGCTTTAGTGTGATCGAACTTGTAACGATGCTTGAAGGGATCAACATTGTGGCAAACAAACATCATCAGAACCATGAGGGACTCAGTTAAATTACTGTATAAGAAATTCGATCGACGGAGCGGCCAGGCATTTGCTCTTCCATATAAAACCTGTGCTAACTCTGACCAATTCTGCTCTGGTGGTATTGGGATGATTCCTTCTCGATTCAATTCAAGATATTCATCAATGACCTCAGGTGTGAACATAAACCATTTATCCCACACCCAGGTTCGGTGCTGGTGATCGATCCCAGGCTCGTCGATGGAGAAGTTGAAATTTGTGTAGAACTCTTGAACAAGTGTAGGATAAATAGCAAATGGTTTAGCTATCACCTTTTCCCAGCCCGCACGATGAACTAATGTCTCAATTTCAAACCCCGGGAAATCTTTTAATACCACTTTCTGCTCGGGTAAAACAGTCCATTTGGTGACTACTTGCTCAAATCGAAGCTTATGCTCTGGGCTTAGGAATCTTCGCAAGCCACCTTCATCAACTCGAGAGCGACCCAGGTTGGACGAAGAAGAGGCTTTGCCTTTCCCTTTTGAAGTGGATGGAGCATCGCGTGTGCGTTTAGGAGGCATTCCTGCAAAAGGCACAAAATAAGCAATATGAGATAGATGAATGGGGTAATTGTTATCAAGAAAATACCATGAGTACCAAAGAAAGAGAAAAATGTAGTGCTATGTGTGGCGAAGAACAGGGGAGTGCGGTGGAAGGGATGGTAAGTACAACGTGTTGTTTTCCTTCAATTTCAAGTTATACAATATAGTGGATGCAAGCAACTATAAGGTGTCATTAAATTGAAGAAAGCCCAAGTGTTGTGCAAAAATTCAAGCTAAAATGTAGACTAATGAGTCTTTGGGACAATTAAACAAACACTTTGTGGGCAATGTTGTAGCAAGAACACCCATATGCCTATTTTGTTATGAATCTACCAATGTTTACATCAAATTAAACAAAATCAAAATCTACTTAAGCCCAACCTTAGCTTCCTATTGATATTGATCAAAAATCTTTTTCAAGTTTAGTTCTTTTGACGGCGAACCAACAGGTAGCTGCGCCACCAATACGAGCCAATGTCGAAAATCGTCCTAGCTACAAGGTTTATTTCACTCCTAAATTCAGGCTTGGTTTGCACAAGAATAGGTTGAGAGCTGAAAGTAAGTGGACAGATAGGTTGTTTTCGATGATTTTGTTCTTTATGCCTTAGGTGGGCCCCTGATCTGCCTATACCAAGGTCGAAGTCTTACGATCTGGGCGGATTTAGCTTCAGTGTCCGTTACTGCTCCCTTACTCGGTAATCTTACTCTGCGATTAGACTCTGAACTCTTTTGGCCTAAGACTCCTAGAAGGAGTTTGATTAAGACCTACTAAGCCTTGCTTCTTCTGGTCGGCTCGTATTAGCCTGTGCTTTATTACAAGTAGTCATTCCCCCATTCCTACCGTCTGTTTGGTCAATCCAGTTCTATATCGTATTCGTCTAGAGCTAGACTAGAATGATTATCCTAAAGTTTTTCTCTGGGGACCAACCGTTGTTAGCCTGCGCTTTGGGCACTATACCAGTTGTGGAAATGGACTCTCAAATCTGGGACTACACAGATCATTCTTGAAGACAGGCTATTCGACCTCCTTACAACTCTTTTTGCTAGGTTTCGAAAGTGCTTATTCCACCTTACCTTATTAGATTAGGGACGATGGATTGTATTCAAGAGCATTTTTGAGTTATGAGTTGCGATTAAAGAGTTAAAACTCTTATGATTGCTTAATGGATTCGAATGTTTTTTTTGTCGGTCAACGTTCAAATAAGGCTTCTTCATTGCTTGGTCAGGACACATTGATCGATTTCTTTTAATTGTTCCTGGGCTTGCAAGTGTAGCCCTAGTTTTCAGGAATTCCATTTCGATCCAAATATCGGAAGTCAGTCTTGGAGCTGGTAGGGGTGGACATACAACCTATCCACTGAAAGATGAGATAAAGGAGCAGTGGGTGAAACACCAGAGTGGCCAGTTGTTAGTCACCTCCACTATCGAGTAAGGTTTGGTTGGGACCGAGCCCTTACTTATTGATGACTGATCTACATTCTCAGCTGGGAACATTGGATGATTTGAGGATGTTGGTTCGACGGCTCCCTCAGCGATTGGGCAGCGGCTTGGGCTAACGCGCGGTGCAACGTGGAGGCGCCCATACGTATCAATCATCCACCAACCCCTTTAGGCGAGTGAAGTTCCCCGTGTTACTGTTTTCTGAAGTTCTTCCATCCCTCCCTCAACCCCTCCGACTGTGGAATCAAGCACCTTCGAACCGTGCATGCAAATGCAGAATTAACCACACTTGAGGCAAAGGAGCGGTTAAATAGGTACTGCACCACCTCAAAGCAGAAAGACAGCTACCTTCCTCGCTTCGTCTTCTGCCCTGGGCCTTTTGCTCTTCTAACGTAAAAGGTGGCCAGCCATTCGTCAAGGCCCAGGAATCCGCTGGACATCTCAGATGACTGGTTACGGAGGGACCGTTTTATTTTTGTAGGCTGGTTCGGTCTATTACTCTTTTCTTGTGCCTATTTCACTGTAGGGGGTTGGTTCACAGGTCCACAAGGTTCCTTCTCAGGGCGACCGTGGAGGGGACTCCTTTGATGTTATTCTTAATGCGGATTGATTCAAAAGAAAGAAGTTGATAAGGATTTCAACCCCAAACCTTTTCCTTTCCTGCCTTAGTTCGATGGAATGCAACTAGATGAAAATAATCCATAAAGTCCATCAAATTGCACGAAAATTGGAAAAAATTTGCAACCCGAGAGTGTTCAAAGTGAAGTGTATTACCTTCGAGTTCTTGGCAACTGGGGGTGTTTGAGTGGATGATGTTGATGTACAAGGTACTCTAATGTGACCAAGTTGTAATGCCCAAGTGAAGGGATGAAGAAATCTGAGGGGGGGAGGGAGGGGAGGCGTCGGTTTGTAGAGAAATATAGGTGTGCTCGAGTGTATGTGAAGTGGTGAAAATATGTAAGAATTGTGTTTGTGGGTGAGGGTTTAACTGGGCTGTGCGTATGCATGGCTTGGAGCTGTGTGTATGCACAACCCAAGCAGATTGGCCTCGGGCGGCCAATCTGCACAACCGTGCGTACGCATGGTTAACCCAATTTTTTTTAATTGACTCTCGGCTCGCCTCCCCTCCGACTGAATTCTTTACATAACACATTGTAGGAGTATGCAAAACGACTATGACCTAGAAGTGCAACGCCAATCCCGAAAGGTTCGTTTTGGTTTAAACCGAACCCGACCACTCATGTTCCACTCCCAACCTAATACCTTTACCACTATGATCTAAAAATGTGCAAATGATGCGAGAATCAATATATTATAAGTAAGTAATTCTTGTACCCAAAATTACACGTTTCAGCTTCGATGACCGTAACATCTCATTTTTTATCTAGATATTCTTGAAGCCTTGTGCATTGACTCAACAACTAAGCAATGAATGGATGACATTTAATCTATCTAACACACCCAAGAAATAAGAAGAACGTATAAAAAATCCTAATCTAATGCAACAAAGCGGAATAAATAAAAGGGAAGAGAATTGAGTTACCTCCCAATAAGCGCTATTTTTATAGTCTATAGCTCGACTTTGTTGCTCAGGCTACTCTGCACTATTAAGAGGTACGGTCGTCTTCTCATTGGAGTAGTCAACTCCCCAACAAGCTTTCAACCGTTGTCCATTCACTTTAAACCTTCTCTTTTCATCCTGAGATACTACTTCTACAGCACCATGTGGAAGCACGGCTACTACTGTAAAAGGACTTGACCACCTAGACTTTAGCTTTCCAGGAAAGAGTTTGAGACGTGAATTGAACATCAATACTTGCTGGCCTACTTCAAAATCCTTCTCTCTTATATGTCTGTCATGCCATCTCTTGGTTTTCTCTTTGTAAATCTTTGCATTCTCATATGAATCCAAACGAAATTCCTCTAGCTTATGGAGTTGTAAAACCCTCTTTTCTTCTGCCGCCTTCATATTGAAATTGAGCAAATGAGTTGCCCAATATGCCTTATGCTCTAACTCAATAGGCAGATGACAGGCCTTTCCAAACACTAGTCGATATGGAGACATGCCAATTGGAGTTTTAAACGCTGTTCTATAAGCCCAAAGTGCATCGTCTAGTTTCTTAGCCTAATCTTTGCAGGAAGCATTGACTGTAGCTTCGAGAATCTTCTTTAACTCCATGTTGGAGATTTCCACTTGCCCACTAGTTTGAGGATGGTACGGAGTCGAGACACGGTGTTTTACTCCATATTTGGCCAACAACGATGCAAATAATCGATTACAGAAATACTTTCCACCATCACTTATAATTGCCCTGGGAGTGTCGTATTGAGTGAAAATGTTCTTCTTCATGAACTGAGTTACCACTCGCCAGTCGTTAGTTGGCAAGGCTACAGCTTCAACCCACTTAGACACGTAGTCTATTGCCACTAGTATGTATTGTTGACCGTAGGAGGAAGGGAATGGTCCCATGAAGTCAATGCCCCAAATGTCGAACATTTCAACTTCCAATATGTTGTTTAAAGGTATCTCATTCTTCCTTAAGATATTTCCAGTCCTTTGACACTTGCCACAATGTTTCACCATATAATGTGCGTCCTTGAACAATGTAGGCCAATAGAAACCCGATTGTAATACCTTTGCTGCTGTCTTGGTTGCTCCGAAGTGGCCCCCATACGGTGTAGAGTGACATGAGTCTAGCACTAGATGTTGCTCTACCTCTGGTACACAACGACGTATGATTTGATCTGGACCCCTTCTATAAAGAATTGGATCATCCCAAAAGTAATGTTTTAAGTCACTGAAGAATTTCTTCTTTTGGTGACTCGAGTAGTCTAGTGGGATGATGGAGTGGGCCAAATAATTGACATAATCGGCGTACCATGGTGTAGTGATAATCTGAAAAAGCATTTCATCAGGAAAAACGTCATTGATCTCCACTGTAGGGTTTGACTCATGCGATTCGAGGCAAGAAAGGTGATATGCCACAACATTCTCACTTTCCTTTTTATCTCTGATCTCCAAATCAAACTCTTGCAATAGGAGTATCCATCAAATAAGCCTCGACTTTGCATCCGTCTTGCTTAGTAGATATTTTAAGGCTAAATGATTCATATAGACAATCACTTTTGACCCAATCAAATATGATCTAAATTTGTCAACGGCAAACACTACTGCCAAAAGCTCTTTCTCTGTAGTCCCATAATTCATTTGAGCCTCATCCGAAGTCTTACTGGCATAGTGAATAACATGGGAACTCTTCTCCTTTCGTTGACCCAACACCGCCCCCACTGCGTGATCACCAACATCACACACAAGTTCAAACGAATAATTCCAATCTGGGCAAGCCAATACTAGAGCAGAAACCAAATTTTCTTTCAAGATTTTGAAAGCTGTCAAGCACTCCTCAGAAAAGTGAAATGGGGCCCCTTTTTCCAGTAGATTGCATAATGGCTTCGAGATTTTGGAAAAATCTTTGATGAAGTGACGGTAGAACCCAGCGTGACCTAAGAAACTTCTAACCCCCTTAACTATTACTGGCGGTGGTAGTTTTTTGCTGACTTGTATCTTAGCTCTATCAACCTCAATACCCCGTGCTGAAATCAAATGCCCTAACACAATCTCTTCCTGAATCATGAAATGACATTTTTCCCAATTTAATACAAGGTTTATGTCTTCACATCTCTGCAGCACTTTTCCCAAGTGTTTAAGGCACCCCTTAAATGATTTTCCAAACACTTAGAAATCATCCATAAACACCTTAATAATATGTCCCACCATATCTGAGAAAATAGACATCATACAGCGCTGAAAGGTGGCTGGAGCATTGCAAAGGCCGAAGGGCTTCCAATAAGCAAAAGTGCCATAAGGGCATGTAAAGGTTGTCTTCTCTTGATCATCAAGTGCTATAGGAATCTGGTTGTACCCCGAATAACCATCTAAGAAACAGTAGTAGGCATGTCCAGCGAGTCTCTCCAACATCTGGTCAATGAAAGGGAGGAAAAAGTGATCTTTCCTAGTGGCATTGTTGAGTTGCGATATTCAATGCAGACTCTCCAACCAATGACTATCTGTGTAGGGATGATCTCGTTATTTTCATTTGGGACCACTGTGATTCCTCTTTTTTCCGCACTACTTGTACTGGATTGACCCAATGGCTGTTTGATATGGGATAGATTATCCCTGCATCCAAAAGCTTTAATACTTCTTTTCTTACCACTTCCTGCATATTCGGGTTTAATCTGCGCTGATGCTTAACTGAAGCTTTGTAATCATCTTCTATCAATATCTTGTGCATGTAAAGCGAAGGGCTGATTCCTTTTATGTCTGATATCGTCCATCCTAATGTTGTCTTGTGCTTCCGAAGTACTCTTAGCAGCTGATCTTCCTCTGATTCTGTAAGATTGTTTGAGATAATTACTGAGAGCGAATTCTTTTCCCCCAGATACACATAGCGCAGATAAATAGGCAACTATTTGAGTTCAAGCGTTGGAGCTTGCAGTATAGATGGTAAAGGTTTTGTGGGTCTTTCGCCGAGCTCCAAAAATGGTTACTTGAAAAGTGGTGGTATGGCTACCAAATAACGTGCACACTCTTCTGCTTCCTCTTTTTTCAACGGCAATTCCTGAGAATGTACCAAGCAAGCCTCAAGCGGATCTTGAGGGTGATCAAGTTTGAATGTCTCTGATACTGCTTCCCTTATTATGTCAATCTGCATGCAAGAATCTGGTTCATTCTGAAATTTGAAGGCTATAAACACGTTGATTGTCAGTTCCTCTTCATCTAACCTCAATATTAATTGACCTTTTTCAAAAATGGGCGACCCAATATTAGGGAGACGTCCCGATCTTCTTCCATATCTAAAATAATGAAGTCCGCTGGGAAGATAAACTTATCGACCTTGATCAAAATATCTTCACAAATACCTCACGGGTGCTTGATCGACCTATCTACTAACTGTAGTGAAATTGTAGTCGTTTTTGCTTCCCCCAAACCTAGTTTCCTAAAAAGAGATAAGGGCATTAAATTGATGCTAGCTCCTAAATCACACAATGCCTTATCTATATACAAGTTACCAATGTTACAAGGAATAGTAAAATTCCCTGGGTCTTTTAGTTTCGATGGTAATTTGTGTTGGAAAATTGTGCTGCACTCAATGTTTTGAAAGCTGGATCGGCCATCGACCCGAAAAAGATAAAGGGTCAAGGGTCAAAGGGTCGAATCGAGGTCGAACCGTTAATGATAAATAAATAAATAATATACCACAAAATTGAGAAAATTAAGTTAATTTTTCAACTTAATTAATATATATAGACAAAAGCACCAACTAATGATTAAATTTGAGTACAATTAATTTTTATTTTTCATATTGTAAATTATTTAATATTTTTATAATATTTGATTGTGTTAATGTAATAAAATTACATGAAAGATCAAGTAAATTGTATTGATAATGAAAAAAATAATAATTTAAAGAGACAAATAATTTACACCAACATGATTATGTCATTTCTTTCTTTTTTTTTTTTTTTAGTGAAACTACAAAATTCTAATAGAAACATATTTACAAGTATGAAATGAGTGGAATTTCATTAGTGAATTTACTGTGCAAACTTTCCAAATCCCACATTGGAAACTGTAGGATAATATTAGTATAGGAATTTTAAGCTTTAAGATCAGCAATTGAAAATTGATAAAGATTGGAAAAGCCTTGATCCCACATCAAAAGTTAAACAATTTAGTACAAGAATATTCAATTGTAAAAACAGCCACAATCGACTGGTGAATGTGCAACTGTACGCCAATAAATGCTGGTGGGCCCATTAATAACTGGTTAAATTCATTCTCTTTCATCAATTGGGCAAAGAGAAAAAAAACCCAAAATGATAGGAACTGGTTCGAAACCGAGACCGGTTTACCGGGTTTCGAGTCAAAGCGGTCGGTTTTATGGGTCTTGATCGGTTCTTTCTTTTTTCGGTTAATACATGAAGATCGGACCGGTATTGAGACCTGTTCCCGATTTTCCCGGTTGAACCGACAGGTCCGGTCCAATTTTAATAACATTGGTTGCACTCCTCAGTAAGCATGACAGTTTCATTGTCTTCTAGCTTCCTCTTGTTTGATAAGATGTCTTTCATAAACTTGGCGTAGCTGGGCATTTGAGCTAGGGCTTCAGCGAACGGTATGTTAATGTACAGCTTCTTAAATACATCCAAAAATTTCTAAAACTGCTTAGCTAGCTTGTTTTTTTGCAGTCTCTGTGGAAATGGGATTGGAGGCACATATGCTTTGACAGGAGTGCTTGTCTTAACTCGTGGACTGCCCGATGACTCGATTTGATTTTTCTTTGTTGTTTTGTCTAATTCATCAACTTGCTCTTCACTCGTTGTAGGTGTCTTTTCTATGATAGTTGCTGGCCGCTTTGCATGTATTTCTAGTAGCTGGACTCCACTCCGTGTAGTTAAGCCTTTGACCTGCTCCTTAGGGTTTGTCTCGGTGTTGCTAGGTAATGTCCCTTGAGCTCTACCTGATAGTGCGACTGCAATCTGTCCCATCTGTTGTTCCAAGTTCTTGATTGAGGCCTATTGATTTTGAAAGTTGGTCTCAGTTTTAGTAATGTACTGAGCCAACAAATCTTCTAAAGACGGTTTCTTTCCTTGCTGTTGGAACCTCGGTGATTTATTCTAATTGTTACCTCCTTGTCCTTGTCCCTGATTGCTAGACCATGAAAAGTTTGGATGATTTCTCCAACCCAGATTAAATGTGTAGGAGAAGGGACTATTTTGCTGTCTCTGAAAGTTGTGCGCATAGCTCACTTCTTTAGACTGGTTGACATGTGTAGACGCTAGATGGCAGTGGGTAGTATTATGATCAACTCCGCAAACTTCACAAATCGGTGGAGATTGATATACCATATTAACTGACTGAGATAGATTATCCATTTTCATTGTAAGAACTTCCATTTGTGTAGCCAGTGGTATTACTGCATCTATATTATGCAGTCCTGTTGTCTTCCTTGGAGTTTCCCTATCGGTTGGCCACATCGATTGATTCTCAGCTATCATATG